AATGTAAATTGTAGTTTACAAAAAAGAAATTGATTAAATATTTTAGATAATTATCAATAAAAATCAAAAAGCATTTTTTTCCCCATATTGTTCTACCATTTTTATCTATATACAGCCACACTAAAGGAAGTGAGCGTGACAGAAAATTAGACAAATGTTTGAGTAAAATCTAATTTCAAAAACAAACCATCACTATTAAAGGTGTGATTTCTTAAAGAACCTCTCAAACCCTCTTAAGGTTTCCTTCTTAATCTGAAGACGACCTGCTAAATGCTAAACCAAAGCTGAACTGTGCAGAAGAGATTAAATACTAGAATGGTTTTCTCTGTCTCTCAACCATGACAAATACGAGACAAAAGCGATGGAGACTATGGAGCGAAACAGAAACAAGAACAGACAGAAAGAAGGCTGTTGGTTTGCCTCTATTAAAGGAAAATATTCAAACCGAGGACATTTTGACTGGAAAATCCTCTCCAGCGTGGGGGGGCAGCAGATTTAACATAATATCTCTGACTTAAGCATCCAAAGGCAAGATGCACTGAGGCAGTACATTTGTGCCAAGGCAAATCTGTCATCCATATTTCCTTGCAGTCCCTGTCAGCTATTTCCTCAAAGTGCTGAGCCAAAGAGAATCACATGTTGTTCCGTCAATCCTCCCTGAAAGCTCTGGGAATATCTCTGACTCCTTTTAGGACGTCTCTAATTGAGGAAATCCTCCCCCTTTGCTGTGATGAAGCTTAAGAATAATTTGACTCTATATGCGAACCCCGGCAGATTAAACAAGTTGAGGTCGCATCAGCAAGAGCTGCTAACTCCTGTCAGCAGCAAGCGGTTGCTAATCCACAGGCTGCTGTGCTGGAGGTTTTAGAGTCACAGATTTTCTGCAACAAAGTCTTTCTTTACTGGAGGCCGACCAGCAGAGTCATGGTTTGCTGTCTGAGCGCTTCTGATCCGTCAACAGCAACAGGGGCAACGCAGGTCAAAGCAACTTTATATGATTCAGACAGTCAATGTATTACAGAACAGCAATCTGTAAAAATCTATCATTTCTAATAGATAATCAGGGCATAGAGCTTGGAGTACTGAGGTTCTGAGTTTGAGCCCCACTCCCACAGACTGCCACTCTGGGTCCCTGATCAAAGACCCTGAACCCCAGACTGCTCCCTGGGCGCCGCATGGTAGCAGCCCACTGCTCCCCAAGGGGATGCGTTTACATTTTATAAGACAAGTTAGCGTTTTTGATCACTTGCATACCCCTTACAAATGGAGTCCCCCACCTTCCCTCAGTGAGGTCTAGAAGCACAAGATCTATATTCAGCCATTCAGCAAAGATGCTGCTACATGGCTGCACATCTCATTTTGGCATTTGATCAATTAGATGAACCTGTGAGTGATATATTGCCTACTGGAAATTAAGTTAAACAAAGTTAAGTCAAGAAAAAGAAGGGAAAAGCTAATTAAAAAAGTTAAAAAGTTAATAATCCTAGTTAATATTTATATTTAGGATTATAAACTAAAAAATTTAAATGCTAGTATCAGCATTAATGCCTCTAAGGTTATTTTGTACCAAAAAATGTATTTCTTTCCATCTCAGTGTTTCTTATAGAAGAACTTTTGTTACTTTTTCTTGATATATTTGGGCAAGTTGGTCTTTCTTGTTATTACATTGACATATGAAGCACGTATGTCACAGCTAATTATATATAACAGATAAGTATAAGGCTAGATCAGAAGATTTCTCAGTTCGGCTCTAGGAGTGGATTGAGACTCGACACATTAATTGATTTTTCTTGGTACCATATATTAGAAAGTGGAAAAGTCAAAGGACATATAATATTTACGTATAGGAATGGCCATTCAAAGATATATATACAGTGTAATCTCACCAACATGAAAAACGTATTATTCAAAAAGAAAGAAGAGTCCCAAACGCTCGCATGAGTGACACGAAACGCAATAAGTCACGACCTGAAAGCCAAAATGTCCAAAGGGCCCAAAGAGGACGATGGCAGGTGGAAGGGGCCGGCCGAAGCGGACCGCGGAAAGACACAAGAGTTTAAAAGGTAAATAGAAGAGGGACGGCTACAGAGCCTCCTACCGGCCCGACCAGAGCAGGCGGGAGGTTTCAGTCTGGGCTTGTCTTGAGCAACTTTAGGCTTTTCCTGGCCTTCGCACACAGGTAGGTTTCTTAGCTCGCCATCTGACCTGGCCAATTCACAGTTTCTTACTAACGCCCTGCTCTGAACGACGCGGCACGGCATCGGCAACCAGCTCCTGCACCAGGTTGGACACCCACCGGCACGTAGCGACATGATGACGTAATACGCAGACAGGCATTTAGCAAAGGGAAAACACAGAGTTTTTAACCCGGGTTACACATACATTTTTGCTTTCAAAATATCCATATTTTTTTAATGTTACAAAGGTAATAAGGTTAGTTCCTGAATTCTAATAACAACTATTGGCTTTAAATTTAGATTTTCAAAATATTTCACTGAGTGCCCCATAAAGGGATAAATTCAGAGAGTGAAATTCTCTGATGTGAGATCAATAAAGTTAAATTATTATTATTATTATCATATTATGAACGTAAATAGATGCTAAATAAATCGCTAAGCTCTCTATTCAAGCTTTATGTGGCTAACAAAGCATATATGCCACAAAGTAGCAGAGCTCCGTTTTTATGGGTGACCACACAGTAACGCTAAATCTAGAACAAAAACTGTTTAAAATCTGATGTGATAAAGTTTTTTAAACAGTTGCAGGGCGCCACACAGACATTTTCAGAGACAAAAGCAATATTATAACTATTGTGTCTTAAATAATGTGTACGAAATGTAATCAGCACCACGACATAGTTTGTTAGCATAACAGCAGTTGATTTCGGGGTGAGTTGTCCTTTAACCATTGGTTTTTATTATAACTTGTGAAAAGTTTCCTTAGTAAATAGAGCCTTTCTGTTTTCTTTAAAATATGTAAGACGTTTTGTAAATATCAGAGAATCAAATTAATTTTATAAAGTTTGCACATTATTGAATAGTGATACCTGTTGAGGTCCTAACAGTGGTGGGCTTCTTCTCCTCTCCTGGTTTGCTGTCAGTTTTAGAAGCTGAAACACACATTGTGAGAAAATATGTCAGTTCATTTGTCGGATACGAATCATCGGCCTTTCCTGAATGTGAGGTCATCAAAGCTGGACAGACCCAGGGGCTTTTTGGCGGCAGGACTGGTAGTAGTGCGGGTGGACGTGGCCATGCGGACCGATGAAGCCGCTTTGCTGGCTGCAGCGCCGGCTGCTCCGTTTTTTGCTGCAGGGCCGGTTAGACTCGTAGCAGCGCTGGTGGCTTTTGGCACTAGGGGGCGCTTCTCTGTAATTGACTGTTGAGAGAAAAAAAAAAAGAAGCGGATAAAAGTTAACATGCATGAGGGGAAAAAAATCAGTGTGGAAATGAATCCATTTTTCACATAATCAGAAAAGAGGATTTAATTCTGTTAAAGTTGATTGCATCATAGTGCAGCCCTTTGGATGATGTCACGCTCTAAATACAGCCGAGCCGACCTGTGACGGACCGCTCATCCTGAACGCAGTCGCCCTGCTCCATCGAAGGCTGAGGGGCTAAATAAAGGCCGGCAGTGTCTGGGTTACAGTGTCACATTTAAGAAGGCCACCAAAAGAGGGCGCCAGAGAGGTAGATTCAAAGAAGCAGATGAAACCTGCATCATAGAGTGCAATAACCTTCCTTTTGTATGTTGGGGGTAAAAAAAGAAATTCATTTCTTTAAAAAAAACATGCTTCAGAATTTGTTCTCACATTTTTGTACAACTTAAGTTAATATTTTTCAGAATAAGAACATGAGAATGATTCAAAAACAGCATCAAATACAGGTTATTAATGTTTCACACTATATCACCTGCAAAACAGCAACAGTTTTAATAGGTCTGAGCAAATAATTATGAGGTTAAAGGGAAATGATTCCTCGATTAGCTCAAAACCAGAACAGCTAAACTCCATCACAACCAAATATCCAAACAATATGTGTTACTTCACTGAAATGAAGTGGTGAATAGCAACATACCCTGTAATGATAGTTTTATTTATCTGTAAATGGGAAATTATAATTGTTTTTCATATCTTTATTCATCTGTTTTTATTGTACAAACTTCATATTTAATTATTTTTTTATTTAAAGTCTGTAGAAGGCTTTTGAGGATACATGGTGGAGGCAGCATCATGCTGTTGGACCTTTTTTTTTCTGCAGGATCACCAAAGGAAAGCTTTAACCAAAGAGTCAGAGGTACATCAGACTAAAGCAGAGGCGAGTTTTTCCTCTCCACTGTCGCTACAGGCATGCTTAGCATGAGGGATTGCTGAAGAGTCAATGAGTCGATGCAATCAGCTGGTTTTCCTTAGATAGATAGTTGTGAATTGGAGCTATATAAATAAACTGAATTGAATCTTATTTTAAAATCCTTTTTTTAAGGAAAGAAAAACTGTGAAACAGTTTAAATATTCAAATTAGTTTTTATCCAGCAGGAACATGTATATCATTTTTATTCTATATGGACCGATGAGTTGGTGCACGGTGATTAAGCTCTACATTTGTGTTTTCTGTAAACCTCCAAACACTCACCTTAGGTTTAACGTCACGTGTGCCCGTGGAGGGGGGCTGTGATGACAGGCGACTAGTGGGATTGGTGGGGGGCCGTTTGGGCCCGGCAGCAGCTGTGGAAGCTGTCTTGAGTGTGCTTGTTTTTTTGTCAGTGGTAGTGCTGGTGGTGGTGGGTGTGGGGCGTTTGGTGGCGGCGGCGGCGGCGGGAGCGGTGTTTGGCCGCGTTTTGACAGCGCCTGCTGGTTTGGTCGCCCCTACGGCAGCCTGCCGCATCAGAAAAGCACCGGGGTCGTTGATGGAGGGCAAAATGAAAAGGAAAAGCAAACAGAAAAAAAATGAAATATAAAATCATAGATAAATGAAGCAGGCTAAGCTTTACAAGCGGCAATGGAGGAATAATTTAACAAAATAAAAGCTGAACAAAATAGAAAACTTAAGGAAAACAGTTTAAAATAATAAGAAAATAAAATGCAGCTGAAGAAGGGTACTGTGCTCTCTAAGTGCAGCTGAGAGACGGACTACTAACTATCCAAACTCAACGTTCCTTCATAACACCCTATTAACACTCCATACTGAACTACTAACACTCTTCAGTGTAAAAGTTATTGCTGAAAGAAGATTCTGTCAGTTTTAGGAGCTTCAGGGCTGATCAGACGAAGCGACACTTTGTGACCTTCACCAACCAAAGTTTAATTTTAGCCAAACATGTTAAACAAACAAAATAGCAGCAGACGCCATTAGAACCACTAAAACTTCAGATTTTATTTTGTTCTTCTGTCAAAGATGAAATCCTGGATTCTCACAAAACAGATGTGTATGATCCGCCATGTTTATTTCTGGTTAGACTGTTGGCTACGCACTTCCTGCTCCATCATCCAGCTGCTCCGGCTGCCTGCGCCATCTTTTTTTCCCAAAAACAAAATCCCATGATGCTTTGCAAGGAGAGTTCTTGATAATAATTCTTGTATATTTATGCTTGTCTATTCACCATGGATGTACACTTCTTTTCAAGGTGCATTGTGAGGATAAATTTTGAGTCCACACTACTCTTTCATCCACTAGATGTTCGGACATAAAATGGCATAACTTTTATAAAGTTCTCTATATAGAGGCTGGACATTCACAGCCATGAAGAATGTTGTTTACAGTGACAATGGTAACTAAATGTGTTATTAAAGGCATACCATGCTAAAGACTTTTTTTTTACTTTAACTACAGACCAGTCCAACACAGACTGCTCACTTTAACATTCTTATAAATGCTAATATTGAAAACCAATAACATACCGACTTATCTTAAGATTGGACTAATGTCCATCTTATATCAGAGTCCTGATTATTTAGCATTTTCCGACCAGAGAATCTGCAGGTTTACTAGTGGTTCCTAGAATTTCTAAAAGTAGAATGGGAGGCAGATCTTTTAGTTATCAGGCTCCTCTCCTGTGGAACCAACTACCAGTTTTAGTCCGTGAGGCAGACACCCTGTCTACTTTTAAGGCTAGGCTTAAAACTTTCCTTTTTGATAAAGCTTATAGTTAGGGTGGCTCAGGTTATCCTGAGCTATCTCTATAGTTCTGCTGCTATAGGCTTAGACTGCTGGAGGACATAGGGACCCCTTTTTCATCATTCTGCTTCATTCGACTTCTAGCCTCCATCTCTGTATTATGTGTTAGTTTAACTTTAAGCTTTATGCAGCCTGGTCCTAATTAAAGGGAGGTTTCTCTGTGCTGTCAGCGCATGCATGCTGAGGGATTACTGTAGCGTCGACAACACAATGCAAGCAAATGTTTACTGTCACAATGTGCTCCTCTAGGAGGAGTGAATTCTACAAAGTCAACTGTAACTGTAAAGAAAACTTTACACTAATTTGACCAGATGATCTGATTGAATGAAATTGAATTGAATATTTTCCCAGTTGGGCGGGCTTTTTGGTTCCCCAATGCTTACAATAAGAATGGTTGAAACAATGTTTTCGTTGTTTGAATCAAAAGGTCAGTTTTCAGCATTACTTTCGGTGTTATCATAACTACAGTTTTACAGTTAAAACTCAACTACAGTTGAGTTTTATTCACAGGTATATCTGTCCCGTAGACCTAGAAATTCTCCTGTAATTGTAGATTTTCTAGTAGGGGAATCTGCTCTGTAGGTTTCTTGCTGTTTTTAAATAGAAATTGTTTCCGTTGACTTCATGAGATATGAGTCATTGCAAAAGAGAACATGAAATTCTTGAAATAATTTGAAGGTATGACCTCATACCTAAAGGGAAATTTAGAAGCACTTGTCAAATGTTTCTTGATTCATTCCCAAACCATGACTTTGTGCAGCCCCGACCCACTGATGCCAGATTTAGACAGCTAAGAAATCTCTCTAATTGCTAGAAATATCTACATTTTTTTGGGCTAAAGTCAACAAACAATTTGTTGGACTGATGGTGACCAGTTGTAGCCTCCGCCATTAGCTTTAAAGACAAATATGACTTTGACTCCATTGATATGTTTATGAGGAGTACCAACATTAGCTATAGACCACAGCATCTAGTTAGTCCTACCTTGGTCTTCCTTTCTGCACCTGGTAGGTCCTTGCTGGCCGTTGAGCTGCCTCCGTTGGCTGCAGCCTTCACAGGTTTCTTGGCCTTGTCTCCGTCTACTTTAACAGCTTTTTCTTTCTTACTGTCCTTCTTCTCTACAGTCTTTTTGTCTTGCCTTTCCTCCTTTTCTGATTTTTGTCCTTCTTTCACAACAGGCTTTTCCAGGGGCTTGGTTCCTGCATCCTCTTTCTCCGCTGTTTTGGTTTCACCACCGTCTGCCTTCTCTTTATCCATCGCTGTGGCGTCGCCTGTGTCGGCCTTTTCTTCCTCCGTCGATTTGGCTTCGCCTGTGGCAGCCATTTCTTTCTCTGTCAGTTTGGCTTTGCCCATGTCTACCTTTTCTTTGTCCGTTGTTTTGGCTTCGACCGTGTTGGCCTGTTCTTTCTCTGTCAGTTTGGCTTCGCCCTTGTCAACCTTTTCTTTCTCCATGGTTGTGGTGTCGCCCGTGTCGACCTTTTCTTTCTCCATCGTTTTGGTTTCGCCTGTGGCAGCCGTTTCTTTTTCTATCGCCTTGGGTTCGGCGGTGTCGGACATTTCCTTCTCCGCTTTCTCCTCGGTTTTAACCTCCACGCTGACCTTGGTCTCCATCTTGTCATGAGTCGGGTCAGGCTGGACATGTGCCGGCTGTTGCTCTGAAGCCGTTTCCACTTTGTGCAGCTCTTTGTCCTCCTTTATCTCAGCTTTTTCTGCAATTTGGTTTGTTTTGTTTTCTGCTTTTTCTTCCACATGGAAATCCTGTTTCATGTCCAACTTTTCTACATGTTCTTCTCTCTCAATGGGTTTGCTTTCCACTTTCTTCTCTTCCATGTTGGACTTTTCATTTTCTTCCACCTTTTCTGCTTTCTCCTTATGTTCATTTTCTACTTTCGTTTCTTCTTTCAGATTCTCGCTGGTTTTCTCCACCTTGTTGATCGTCTCCATCTTTTCTTGCTTTTCCACTGTGAAGGATGGTTCTTCTACCTTGGGCTGTTTGTCATCCTTCTCTTCCTTCTTCTGAACAGCTTCCTCCTTTTCTATTACTTTCTCTGTTTGCTTTTGGTCATCCGGTTTATCCGCCTCCTTCGCTTTGTCTGGATGTTTTTCTTCTTCACCCTTTTTTGCCTCGTGTTCATTGACCTTCTTCGTGTCCTTTCCAACCTCATTCTCCACTTTTAATGGACTTTCATTGCTGGTGAATTCAACCTTAACGCTCCCGTGCTCAGCTTTGTTAAAATCTTCAAACGGCTCCACCTTCTTTTCCCCGTCCTTCTGTTTGTCGTCCTTCTTCTCTATTGTCTCCATCTTGTTAGGTTTAACTGCAAATAAAATAAAAAAAAAAACAGCAATGTAAATTTTAAAACAGTAGAGCCAGATAATGAAAACATCTGGAGAGCAATATTTTATCCAGTGACAAAAAACAAAATACCGACTTGAAGCAACAACGACAACAGCTTTGGTAGCTCTAGCTTAGGAAATGCCAGATCCTTGAGCCAACTGCGACGGTTTCAAGGAATTAGGTCTTTAGGTAGGAAATTAACTGCTGTTCTGTATTGTTTTCCGAGATATCAAACACCAAACATGCTTTTATAACCAATTCCAGCAGTTAGTGTTTCTCAGAGTAAAATGAACAACAGACAGTTATTTTTTTCCACCCTCTGTTGCATTTGTCTGCGATGGACTGGCGACCTGTCCAGGGTAGACCCTGCCTCTCGCCCGTAGACATCTGGAGATAGGCACCAGCACCCCTCGCGACCCCACTTGGGATTTAAGTCAGAAAATAGATGGATGTTGCATTTGTCAAAGTAACGGTTTTCAGTGCGATTTTGAGAAAACTCGTATTGCCAAACCATAGAATTTAAAAGCTGTCAACCTGTAAAACATATCTGAGGTAAACATCAATTGGTCTTATTACACTTGTTTTTCAATTTATTTTCTTAGTAAGACTAAATATTGTTAAGATTATTTGACTTGTTTTAAAAAAAATCTTTTTTTTTTCATCCTAACTAGATAATACAACTAATTCTGAGCAGCTTTTTTCTTCAATTAGCACACATTGCGGACTGAATCGCGTTAACATTTAGACTGTGAGTACATTTTTACTTGTTTCAAGACAATAAGACGATCCATATTGACCTGTTTTAGAGAACTGACCCCATCTCATTAAGATATTCCAGCTGATCATATCCAATTGGGGGAATGGGTATTTCGCTTAATTCTGTGACATTTCTGCTAAAATAATAAAAAAATGTTTTGAAGTTTTTGTCAGGTGTATTTTTTCATACATTCACTACACCTAAATAATGAAATTAATTCTAGCTAAGAAAAACAGACTAGTTTTAAGCCTTTAAATGAACTGGTATCGAGTACATTTGCCTTGTTTTTAAGCCTGTTGGATGCTTGTTTTGAGCAACAATTAGTTAGAGGACATTTAATTCTAAGCAATAATGACTAATAAATGAGAATAAATTGCTTAAAATAAGAGAAAAAATCTTAACGAGTAAAAGAAAAAATAGATTTTTCTACTTGATTTAAGTTATTTTGAATGCTTACTACTTGGATATTATGTTCTTGTTTTAAGAAATCTTACCAAGTCTCATTTGCTTGCTGCACTGGCAGATTATTTTGCTCAAAATAAGCAATTATTCACTTAAAACACTATATTTTTTTCGAAGGCATTTTTTGTTGTGTAGAAAAGTATGGCTTTGAGCTGCTTCCCATCACTGCTGCTATGTTTGAAACAGATAAATAATCAAAATATCCTTAAGACACAGAAATAATGTCTGGATTTCTATGAGGTCTGCAAAAAACATAAATACTGCAGCTCCAACGTCACGTCCTGTGAGTTAAAACTCATAAAAACTGATTACTCAACATTCAAACCCTTTTTAAATTTTAATAATCATGAAATTATTGAATAAATAGGAATATAAGGTTGTCACTATTGGATTAAAAATAAAAGACTTCAAAAGTCAATTGAATTGAATTGAATTAAATAATTTGTAATGTCCCTACATTTAGGCAGCAGTGGTGATGTTGGTAAAATTCAGACAAGACAAGACTCTTCTAACTTTGGGATAAAATTTCAGCAGGAAAAATAAAACTTTTTTCTTCTTAAGATGTATAAAATAAAAGGGAAAATGGGTAATTGTTCATTACAATCTGGGAAAATCTGGTATTTTCTTCTTGGGAAGATGTCTGACAGTTTTCTGGATGTCAAGGAGGAAATATTGATCGTCACACATGAAACGATGGGAGGGGGTTGTTGTAAGAGATGACCAGGGAAACAAAGGAAGAAAATCCAACAATAAAGAATTACATGTTATTTCTTCATGGTCAAACGGTACATTTCTTCCTTTCGTCCGTATCTTCACTTCACATCCAGCATAGCAGGACTTTCTAAGACTAAACTGAGCATAAAGCAGCAAAAACCTCCACCAGTGACATCCGACCCTCTCAGAGATAAAACAAACACATCGATCACTGTCAGAAATCAACCGAAGCTCTGTGCTGTAACAACAGAGGGACTCAGGAGATCAGCCAGATCTTTTAATTAGGGCAGAAACCTGATACATGTCGCAGCTGGGAAAAGCCTGCAGTTTTCCATGGGGGGGTTGGGGACCTCAGGCTGCGTAACTCCCTCATTGCTTCCAAGGAATCTCATTCCACCACCGCATTGAGAGATTTTATTGCTTCATATCATCAGTGCCTTCATGCAGTAATATTTTACCTGTTAGCAATAACGCTTCTGCAGAAATAAATCTGCTTCTCAAAGTAACCAGATTAAAAACAGCGTCTATAAAAACTGCAGATTGGTGGCTAGATAGATAGCCTCAGTTACTAGAATTATACTTATATATTTGTGTGTATTTATATAGCATATATGTATATTAAATGCTAATCACCGTCTCCATAATATATTTGTTTCTTTCAATATATGAATATCTTTAAATATTAATATGTATATAAATAAAAAAATATAGAAATGTATTATAGGTTCTGTCTTTTTCGATGCATAAACATCACATCTTAATATTCTTATTGTTTAACTCCATTAAGAATATTTAAATGCACTGAAATATGTCTCCCTATACATGTAGCTAGGGTGGGTGTACAGAGAAGATTTGCATCACAAAAAGCATGAAATGTTTTGTTTTCAGCGAGTTATGATTAATTAATTTGGCTGAAACTTCACTGAGCAAGTCAGTGGGCGACCTTTCCAAGATGGCCGCCTCAAGGCAGTCCAGGTAAATGAGGAATCTACTCTTATAAATCTACGTAGAGCACAGACAGCTAGCATACAAGCAGAGGTAACAGGTCACAATTTTATGACTTTAGACTTGACGTCAATAAAAGGTTAGAGACTTGGGTCTCAAAATAGACTTGAACCAGTTTGGTTTTTTTGAAAAGAAAAAGGTTATCCCAAATCTAAAGTTTATAACAATTAATTTTTTAGTGGCGCACGCCATTTCTTTATTACATTATAAGTATTAAAAACTGCAGACAGTCTTTCCAGTCTTGTTATGTGTGTGTGGGCTGCAGCCAATCAAATTAATCATATAAAAAATACAGAACAAATACAAATATACTCCCTAAAGTTACTTCTTTAAGGTAAATAATTGGTAAAGTACTTAACAAAAAAGAAAATTCAATATGCAAAACATGCAAAAAGTGAGTTAGACGGAAACAGAACAACTTCCAACTTTAACTGAAATCTGAGGAACTTTAGGTCTTTATCTTTCTACGCTGAGCTAGCTAACGTTAGTTAACTTTGACTTATTAGCAAATGTTCAGTTGCACTGGTTTTATCACTTGTTGAGATATTAAAACAATCATATGTGGTCAACTATTTACATTAAAAATATTAAATTTTTAATATATTGAATAAAATTTAAAATTTCTGACTTGACACTTGATTGTCTTTGCTTGTTGTTTTTTTAGACAGAAGGTGAAATAAAGAAAACATCCCACCTTTGGGTCCTTTTGCTAGCCTGAAAATTTTGTCAGAGCTTTGCCAGATCAATGAAAGCCACTTGCATCTAATCAAGTGTTTGTCAGTTTAATCTCAAAATGGTGCTGTCATCTAATTTAATTCCTAATTCAACACACCTGTCAGCTCCGCCCTGGTCCTCATCAGCCTCTATTAGACTCACCTGCTCACCTGATTATATAACCCGCTCTCAGACCAGTCACCTGGGCCAGATTATTATGAGGCATCGGCCAATTTAATCCAGCATGCCCGTATACCTGATTCTGCCTACTGATTCTTTGAGCCTGCCTGAACCTAATGGGACATGTCCTATCGTGTCTTTGGATCTCTGACCCGTTTTCTGTGCCCTGGCCTTGCTTTCAGAATCTCCTCTGGATTGTCTCTGGATCAAATGGCTTTCACTCCGATTCCTCCAAACCAACCCGGATGGATTCAGAAATCCCTCAAAGTTCACCAGTGACGTCAAACGGCTTCCCTCTGACTCTGGGAAGAAGTTCTAGTTGCTGACTCTGGTGAATCCCTCCCGACCTGCGGCATTTTCATATTGAATAAACTGTTCAAACTTCAGCTGTTTCTGGTTGGATTCTGGGTCTTCTTTCTTCTGGTCTTTACAGGCGGACTCAGATTTAAGGAGTAAATTGTTGTACTTTGTTTCCTTTAGAAAGCCAAACCAAGCTGCCAGTACCCACAACCCATGGTAGCTAGAAACAAACCTCTTAACAGATTCCATAATTCATTGTTTGTCAACAATATTTTCTCTATCTTGTCTCTGTTGAAATATTTTTACCCTGCACAACCATATCTAGACTCTGATTGGTTTGCACAACACGAAAATTCACAGAAAATTGGATTTTTCAACTTGCACAAGATGCCACGGCCGTATTGCTTTGCTATATTTGGCAAAAAGTTGCTGTTGCCTCACCGGAATGAGCACTTTCACCTCTCTCCGCTTAAGAGTGCTCCTCAGCTACCCACTACTTAGGGATAACGTAAATCGACCACTTCCGAGCATGAAAATTACATTCAGTGTCAGCAAACCCTAAAACCCGACTTAGGACTTGAAGATAAAAACGTATAAAACATTTTCTTAGTACCTCCTCTGCTTACAACACCACACAACATGTAGAAGTAGAAAACACACAGTTTTCCAACATTTTTAAAGCCTCTTTGTTCATCTAAGAGTGACAGTAAACTCACTGCCCTGATTGACGAGACATTTATGGCCTAAACCGCAACACGTCTATAGATGTCGCTGGTCCACCATGTTTTTCCCTGTCTGCAAAATGATAGCCTTTCCTAGATCAGATCAGGTCACAGAGTCGCATAGAT